TTGCATGTCATTACGCATCCCTACTCTTGTTTTTGCTCTCATTGAGAGAAGACCCATTGCCTGACTGGCTTCCCAAAGTGTTCCATTAGCCTGCTGTGTCATTCAGCCTCTCCAATTGCAGCGAAGAATAGGATTGTTGTTTGAATTTTTTGTATTTTTAAGACATTTTCTTGTCCTGAAGTTTGATGGCTTTTGTGTTGTAGGGTCGCTGATCACTCGCTCAACTCTTTTACTGCATCCGGGATAGGGACCGGCTGGAGAACTAGCAAGCTAGTTAACCAGGCGAGGTTCGCAGATGGAGTAGTGGAATATTATGGAAGTAAGTAAGAGTTCTAAATAAATGCGAGGGTTATATAGAGTTACAAAAGTAGAAATAAAAATCAAGTCAGCAGATGTAAGTGGAAATCAAGTCAGTCATTTGTGATACTGGTGCTGGGTATTCCCAGAGTGGCTCTACAACCTAATTCCTCTGTGCAAATTTGCTGTCTCAGATAATAAATATTCGTTCACAAAACTGTACAGTTAGCAAATCACTTTCTGATTAGCTTAATTAATCTGATCTGGACAATGTGGTCGAAATTTTCGGAAGGACGCATAAGTGAATCTCCAAACTAAGTAAGAAAACTTCCAAATACTTTTTTCACTATTTCCTTACTGTTAGTGAGGGCCTCACGTTGTATAATTGTGACTTACACCCCTTTTTATATGAATTCTAACGATGGGAACCTAAAGGTGATTACTTCTCACAGCAGTGGAGCTGTTCTACGTTTGATGAATTCATGATAGTCACACGTCAAGTGTGGCTGTTATCTGGGTGGCCAGGATAAGTTGCTGATTCCCCACCCAACAAATGGGACAGTCCACTTTCACCACATTTGTTTTTTCAGATTTTTGACATTTCCTTCCCGTATTTTCTAATCTCTTTTACAGTCTTTATATTTTGCCATGTTCCTCTGCTCACTTTTATTTTGCTGGAAGTAGACATGGTGGCCTGTTGACCTATTAAATGGTTTTACTAGACGCGACCACCCGACCTAGAAGTAGGAATCTTCTCCCATTAGCAATTTATGCCATGTGATGTGAATTAATTGACCCCTCAAACGACTGGTAAGCAAAGTAAAAGTGGTAGAAATGAATTCTGTCGAACGTCTATTGACAAACCTGTGACTACCAAACTTTCCGACGCCCATAATCCAGCTCAAAATTGATAGGACCAGTTTACGCGGTCACGCTAATCAGTCTCGTGCCATGATGACGCAGGAAGAGGACATTACTTCATAGACAGAGAGAGTGCGGAAAGAGCTGCGTTCCACCAGAACAATACTCGACACTTCATACAGACTGTGCAGGACGGCGATGGTGATTATTTTTTGTTCACTGCACCAGTTGTTATTACATCTTACTGGCAAACGAGAATCTGATTAACAACCGGCCAAAAAACGCTTGTACCTTCAGTTCCCAATAGATAATTAACTTAAAATTCTTTCGGAAAATACCACTGTTTATAGCCACCATGAACTCAATGAAATTGGTGAAACTATTTCTACTGTTGTTACCAAAGTTGGTTATTACCACGCCATCTAACATTAAATAGAAGATGTACGGGTTTAAGGCCATAAGTTGAAATCGTTTTTAGGCCCTGTTTCAGCTCAGACTGCCGATTAGGGTCACCCTTACTGTGTCTCGTGTGTGTCAACGAGTGATGCAGTAGCAGCACTTTTTCATGATAAAACTGATTTGGGTAAACTATGCTGACCGATTTCGCGACGGCAAGCACTATCAGGCTGTCTCTACCGGTGGTTCTTCCCACGTTACATCTAGGGGCAGTTAAGTATGATTTTCTCGATACCTTGAGAAACATCCTGTAACCATAGTGCAAAAATATCATTGACTTTGTTTTGGACTGATATTTAAGGTTTTCTTATTCAATAACAGTAATGGGATCCCATTAAAAACTGAAATTCTCAATTCAGCAGAGCTGAAGGAGTTAAGAAGGACGATCTAATGTTCGAGGGTCAAACAAAAGTCTAGAACTATTCTACAATAAGTGAGAGCCAAGAGGTAAGAAATGCCAAGAAATGAGCAATATGCAAACTTTCTTAGAGGAGGTTTACAACTAAAAGACTGATTGCTTCCTGGTTATGTGATGACAGCTTTTTACTATCGAATACAATCTAAGAATTGTCTTCACTTTGTCATGCAGCAGTTTCTCACTTGCCGAAACGTTTCACAAGCATTCACCGCGTGGCATCTACCGATCACCCGCCTGCGAGGCAGGACACAACCAACCATCGTTAGGCACCATCAAAGTGATACAGGACTTTGCTGATGATCAAATCACCATAGCTGGAGACCTCAGTATTCCATCATTGAACCTTGCCTTGGAGTGTGGCCAGGGAAACATCGGTCGAAATCTGATACAAACCATTAAAAATACAGGACTGACTGGAAGTGTTGGAGACGACAATAGGTTGGACCAAAGTTGAAAGTCATCGAGATTAGACTATGTTCCAACTAGTGACCAACTACTCGTCGAAAAGGTTCAGATTATGAATCCACTAGGAGGTAGTGACCCTGGGGTCATAGTGGAACAACAGAAGACAAGGGCCAGGCAACAGATCGTTCATTAAGGAAATCAGCACATAATTGTATATATATTTCATGTACATTATTATAGCTTATTCAAGCAGACAAACACAGTCTTCTAATTGGTTGTTTCTTGCTCAAGGTTATTCTGTACTGCTTGTGACTTGCTTCTCAGAAAGTTAAGCCGTATATCTGCGTATCGGATTTGCCCACGTCAAGTTTGTTGTGATCAGTTTTTGAACCAGCCTTGTTCATATTTTCTCACGGCTAATATCAGCGACCTAGACATTGACGTAAATTAATATCTACCAATTAGCTAGCAGTCTGCTCTTACCACAGTAGGATTCTTTCTTTTCCTCCGAGAGCGCTCAAAGTGGGATGCTACGTGACCACTTCTCTGCTATAGCAAAGCCAACTGTGTCGAAATGCGACGGCTTTTGTCCAACGCAGGATGGCCCATGAAATGGATGGAGCTGTCTGTAGACGAACACTTGGAAGTGGCAAAAGGAATTATTCACACAGCGACCTCGGATTTCATCCCTCTAGTCGCAACACAGCCGCAAATAGACCTCATGGGCAACCGAGGTACGCAACGTATTCTGCAAGCAAGGCGAAAGGCTTGTTCCACGTGGTGAATATCCAAGAGTCAGACTGACCACGATGCACACCTGGAACTAAGGAACAGGTGAAACGCAACAGTTGAGAGTGACAGGAGGTGATTTCAGGCTTATACTGCCAAAAAACTCACAGCAAACTCCCAAGGACTTTACTGATTCATATCGCAAAAATGCTAACCAACCAGGGGGCATGCACCTTAGTAGGTCCGAACGGTAGGCACCCCACTGGTCTGGAGATGGGCGAAACACTCAATTTAGCCTTCGCCAAACAGTTGAACAACAATGTAGGTATTATTGGAAGGGGCCAAAACGTCGGCACTACGACTTCACCTAGTGGCTACTCCCCAAACAAACTCTGCAGTAGTACTAGGGAAGTTACAGATACTCACATCCCTGAAGTCTCCAGGTTTTGACGACACCAGGCCATCTGTTCCGAAACAGTGCGCCGAAGCTCTCTGCAGGCCATTATGCGGCTCGTTTCGACACTCGATGGATTTGGGGAAACTGTCAAGGGAGTGAAAAAGAGCCATCTTTTCTCCGATTTTCAAGAGTGAGGACAGGCAAAATGCTACTAGTTATAGACTAGTAGCGCTACTCCAAGTGTTGTCAAAAGTTCGGGAAAGTATTATTGATGATCACATCAGGGAGCGCCTCGATAGGACTAATAGATTCCATGAAGCCCAAAACGGTTTCAGAAAAGATAGATTCTGCGTAAGGAACCTACTACCATTTGAGACGACTGGACATCATGCTGGGAACCGTCAGTTTGGAGAGGATTTGATTGCTTCCTGCAAGATAATTGATCAGAACATCCAAGCAACAGTGTTCTGCTCATACCTGGGGTTCCTCGTGGAAATCCCAAAAGGATAGCTTACCAGAGGGCAAAGATTCGAGTACGTTCCCATTTCTTTTCACTACGGGTAAGCCCTGTTTGGAACTCCTTACAGGCAGACGTAGCTATAACACCATCCCTGGAGAGCTTGAAGACTGGATATTCATGCAGCGACACAAGGACTGCGTCGACGCGGCGCGTCCCTTTAAAATCTCATACGCTATTGATGAGTAGACACCTAAAATCATCGTTTTACTTCTTCATATTCTCTCTTGTCTTACTCTCCTGACTACTTCAATCACTAGGTCCCTTACACCATTACTTTGGATATGCAAATATGTATGTATATCAATTTCAAATCCCATGAACAACCTGCTTTTACGTTTTCTTTCTTTTTCTCTTGGATGTGTAACCTAAACTGATTATATCCGTCAGTGTTACTACCTCTTTTATTTTGCCAACGACAACTAATGACTAACTGGCTAAAGGATCAACTACACGGTAGCAACATGGTTTTAAGACACCTCATACTGCAAAGTACTTATAATTAATCTCAGCACCACTGCTTTTGAAGACAACTAAAGCTCCGACAGTCGAGTGGAGGGACGAACTAGACAAGAGTTTACCGAAGACTGTGAACCTTTACCTCACAGCCAGGAAGCAATCACAGAGTAGTCAGAATGGTTTGCACTAACTCGTCGAAACCATATTGGATATTGGACAAATGACTGTAACCTACAATGTGATTTTATACCGAAGCAGTCATAAGTATTGTTTAAAAGGCGCAGTGACTTTCAGAACACCAGTGTTGTGACTGCCGACTTAATGTGGCTTCCCGAGAAAGTTCTCAGCAATGAATTCTAAGAGTGCATTTTTGTTCAAGCATTATCTATTAGACGTTGTATGGCAAGCTGACTTTTGACGATGATTTAAACCTGAAGGTCGTGTAACGTGAATTCGCTAGTATGTGTTGGAAGGAGTCATCTTTACTGTGCGTGAAGTGTGTATTGTTGTGTTTGAATGTCATATTCATCCTTGTCGGTTTATCATCGATTGCTGTTGCTTGCTGGGTTTTATTTTGGCCACAAATGTTTGTAGATATAATAGGCCCTAATCTGTTGCGGACTTCGGCATATTCGACAATATCTGTTGGTGGCGTGATTCTATTGCTTTCGGTTTTAGGATGTGCTGGAACCGCATTCGAAAATCGCTGCATTCTGGTCACGGTAAATGTCAATTTTTCAAAATTATTGTATCATAGTTCTTCACGCTACTCTGTGGCCTATTCATGGCTTGTCTAGTAATTGGAACGCTAGCAACTGTATTTAGAGGAGACGTAAGTATTTTTCTTAGAAAAATAAAGCCGTATAATATACGTGCATGTCCTACTTATATACGTTAGGTTCATAGATGTATGCTTATGACTTGTCATTCACGCATTCTTGGGGTCATATGCAATGAGTAATTTTTAAGTAATTTTGGATTACGCTTTAGCCGTGTAACAAGCGTATAAACTTACTTATAATGATGAGCATTAGAGACCCATGAATTTGAAGAGGCTAATACACTGCATTTAAACGTTTCTATTTTTCTATCACGTGCTCTGTAATTCATGATTAGGCCGGAGAAAACAATAGATACCACAGAGGAATGACTGCGAATCAACTGATCAGATTTTTCAGAATTACAAATAAACTCTACAGTTTTCACTGCAAATGTCTTCGTGACTTAGGGTTAGGGTAGGATTATTATCTTTCTGGTGAAAGGATCAACTCCATTCACAGTAGTAACATAGACTTAACACACTGCAAACTACAAACAACATATAATTAACCCCAGAACTAATCTTTCTGGAGTCACCCGAAACCATGACATTCAAGTAGCGAGACGAACTATGCAGAAGTTTACTGAAGACTAGGAACCTTTACCTCAAAATTAAGAGGCAAGCACAAAGAAATCAAATTGGTTTATATTAGCTAGTAAAAACGGTATTGGGTATTGAAGATAGTATTAGTATTAGAGTTAGCAATACGGTTAAGGTTAAGATGGAACTTGCAGCGAATATTCTGTATGTTGTCCACTTTAAATACTTAGATCATTGAGTTATGTTCATCTTAAAGTCGATGACTGAGGCGAATTGCTGGGTCCTATTATTATCAATCACATAAATCCTTTTGAAGGATTTTAGGCAAATTTAAAAATAGATTAGAACATTATGTGTCTGTAAACACTCCTGTAAAACTTGGATCCTTTTTTGCAGTATGTCAGAGAAATACAGTATGTATAATTCATTTTTATTATATATGTGTCCCGTAAAGATAGGTTTTACTCTACAAATGCCATCTTTTACCTAAAAGAATATTATTAGTTGGCGCAAGGTTATTTAGCTGTAGTATCTGTTCCCTACTGTTCCCCTAAATCATGTATCCGTGGCATACTTGATGTCTGTTTAGAAAATATAACATGGATTCACGACACCGATAAGGTAGCAAACCAGTGTGATTGTTTCTTTGCTAGTAGACGTATTTATGTGTGATTTCAATTTCTTCCTGTAGTTTTTGTCCTGAGCTTTTTTGAGAAACGGAGAGTGTTAGGTCTGATAACATGCAGACAAAAAATGGCTCTACATTACAGAATGCTATTGGGGCTGCATAACGCTCAAGAATCTTCTTGAGAATATTCACAGAACTTTCTAAGTTCTAAGACTTCTATAAATGATGAAGGTTTCCTAGCTAGCAGTAGCCTTAGAAAGACTGACAGCTCGGGACAAAACCTCACAAAATTTACTTTAGGAGCACTTTTTTTCGTTTTCCCGAAGTCTTTTGTAGTCGACAAACAATAACTGAAGTATGCATTACGAAGTACGAGTAACAGTTCAGAAACATAAAAATGCGTTTTATGATTTATTATCAGAATTAAGGAACACTATATTACAAGCCTTTAGTTCAGATAATATATACATAAGTTGAAGTGTACGAAACCGTTAAGGGATTCATTTATACTATAAACGAAGTGCTAGTTATGATAGTATAAAGCCTGTGTCCTTTGAAATGTTGTCATACTAAGATAGAGGTATTGCGAATATGATAAGTGTGAAGAGGTGCTATTAATCGGCTATAGTAAATTTACTGAAAACAAAAATCACTACACACAAGGGTGATTTCCAAAAATAACTTATCCTCAGCTAGTCTTTATGCAAAATAGTTAGCATGAAAATCGGAAATAATGTGGATATCTCCGATGTAGTTGCAAGTGCTTCAGAGTGATAAGAATGGTTCAAGTTGAAGACTAACAATAGCATAAAAAGTAGGCAAGTGAATAAATTGTTTATGTTTGGAGTGGCAGTATATACCATTGAAAATGCGATTAGGTCCAAATAATATTTTCATAAATAATTATTAATTTTTAGCTTATCATACTCATGGTTAATCGAATGAGCATTGCTGTACAGCAAGACTATGGAAGTTCTGAGTTTTGGACGGAGCTGCTGGATCTTTTCCAGACAAGGGTGAGTTCCACCTACTGTTCATACGCAGTTCCACTTTATTTGCTTTATAAATTGAATGCAAACATCTTGTTAATTCTAATGCTAATTTACGCGAGAGGGTAAGTGAAGATATAAGGATGCTTGACATTATTATATTATTTCAACTACAAAGAAAGTGTTGTCAAAATATTTTTTATGTGACTAGTCAACAAAATAATATAGTGTGAATCGGAATACATTATTTCTAAGCATTAATGTGGCATGTGCGACTGACGATAATTTCTCTGTAAGAAACTTGAATGCGTGAAGGATTCATTAAGCTGAAAAAAGTAGAAATGGGAATATGAATGACTTTTGCGAGTTAAGGTTTAAATTGAGGGTTTTATATTTTGCCATCATTGCACGCATAGGATATGTTCCTGCAAAATAAAAATGTGTTCTATCATTACATTAGACGTGATGGAATAGCTGTCAAATTATAGGGATGTGTAAACTGACTTCATACCTTCACCATTCTTTAATTAATCATTCCTTCTGCAGCACACCTCTTTCAATTGTAGTTTCATCGCATTCCTTTCGTTTAGCTTAATATTTGCTTCTTATGAGGTATGTGAACCAGAATTGCTGCACTTTTATGCACAGATTTTGCACTGAAAATCCATTCAAGTTCAATTCCTCTTAGTGAAACTTTTGTGTGACTATTCTATAAATAGAATTTTTATTCACTTAATGATATGAGTCTTAACGCCTACCAGTGTTCGAAGTTTCAGTAACTTGGCACTGGCGTTGTATGTACCAGGCTATGAATTAAATTTATCGGATGAAGACTAATAATGATACGAAAATGCTTCGGCTAGAGAGGGATTCGAAACTTGCCGTGGTTGAATTTCAGCAATGAAACCAAAGAAGCTAAAGAATAGTAAGAATTGAAGCATATAATAAAATAATCCCCTGCATCCTTTAGCTATAGGGAAATGATCCAAGATCTCCTCATAACTGTGATGTTCTACTCCTTTTTTATGACGGACCATTTTGGCTGAATTCATTAATTCTTACTTTTAGAATATATTCCATTCCATTAGCAGGTGAAGATTAATCGACGAAGTATGTCAACATTAAGCGGCTAGACGAGATACAGATTTATAAAAATGAGTATCAATTGAAAGTCATCGGGAATAAAAAGTGAACAGATTTTTAGAGAATAAAAACAAGCAAAGACTTTTAACAATAAATTAACATATTTATGCTTTATGTGCATCATAGTGTCGCATATATTTAAAAACCACCGAAATTAACACTCTATTTCAACCAGTTTATCACACATTATAAAGAAACAAAATCAATTAAGTTTACTACTCATTGTGGTTCAAAAATATGTCGAAATATTAAGTCTAGACTTAGTTTAAAGTTGTGCAGATTATGCTTAACTAAAACAAGAGTTGGTTAACGCTGTCGACTTATTTTTGCACAAAATTATGAAAAAACACTCTGCCACAATTAGTAATTGCACATTACCAGTGAGATGTAGTTTACCTGTCGATAGGGAATCTTGAAATATGATCAAGATAAACAGTAACTCATTACATGACCTTTACTGTTTGGATTCAGTACAAATTTTTTCTGATTATTTTACAATGATCTACTGTTACACTGTATCCTATATTTTAGGCTGTCTAGTTTGATTAACTTGAAACTAACAGAGTAATTTGATTACTGTGGTATGGGGAAACTTATTCATTCTGCTCATACTTCATCATAACAATTTAAAAACGAATGTGAATCTGTTACTTTGCAGTTAACTATCTTATAATTTTAAACAGTGATTGCTAAAACACATCTCTGAAGCGTTAGTTTTATTATACAACTCAAGATAATGGGATAATTTTATTTCTAAGTTTTAAACTGTTTTCATTAGTTATTACAATAATCAGTTATTGCTACCTGATTAAATCTGCAGTTTAACTTTGTTTCTTGTTATACAAACGTACTGAAACTGACTTACAGAATAACGTATATAGGGATTTATTTCACTGTAGAACTGTCTACAGGTTAACATAGCGTTATGCTATAACAAGAAATTTCTAAGTCAGCTAAGTTTGTTTTCAAATAGATATTTGTTTAACTCATGGAGTACAAAAAAGGTATGAAGCAAAGTTTTATCAAAAGGGTTGGGTGCGTTTGGTAAAAGTTCGTCAAGTGAAATTTAGACTAATTTGTCAAGAATTCACTAGATTACACTTGTGTAGTTAGTAGTTTATTGTAACCATTTTGCTTTAAATTAATTTCATATTACCCGTTAATTGATTATATTGGACCGAAATGTTTGGTCTCTGTTGGCATTTCGGCTTCTGCTATGGACTCTTCAATGATGTCTGAGGATAAACAATATTATTTGGTGGGTGGTAACTACTAACAAAGATCCCGAACATTTTGATTTAATACAATGAATCAACCAGAAATGCGAAATTAACTTAAAGAATAAATGGCACCCGTTGCGTAAGAGACGGCTATTACGGACCAACTGGCCTAGGGGATGAGGCTTTGGCGTTTCAAACGATAGGTACTGGGTTCTGGTCTTAGTGGAGATTGCAGAAAGATCTAGATGACAAGTCCGAAATAGGACGAAACATACACCCTGAATTTTGCTGGTAGTCACCATCCATCAAATTATATGCTAATTTATTGAAATAAATTCAGTGATTGCGTGAATTGTGAAGTAATTAACTTATTCTTATTGTTGATTATTATTATTATTTAAAACTTAAATAATTTGAAGTCACAGACATATATAAGTAAAAGATTCATATTGTTCACGTTGTCAGGAAAATTTTTTTGCGTATAATTATCCAAGCACAGTTATTGTCTATTTCATTCAAAGTTTCACCCTACTGTTTCTCTTGGTACTCACTAGAGGTGGAATGCAAGAAACCACTGGACACGAAAACATATTTTCAAACTACATTTGAGTTTAAAAAAGACTAAAAAGATTAGCCGTTACATGATTCAACGCATCTTGAAAGTACAAACATAAGCGGGTTAATTATTACTAAAGAAAATAAACGCACATCTAAAAAATCTGATTATCATGAAGTGAAAATATAAACTCCAGTCAGAGTTCATTAGAAGTCAAATAAAATCTTAGTGTTAATACAGATCGTAAATGTAATTCATATAGTCTTGTAAGTAACCATCACTGAATGGTTCTGTAATTAGTGTCTGCGATATTTGAATTAAGAAAGAAAAACCCAGTGATTTGCCTTTTTCGGCTTAGCCAAAATTAAAATACAAGCTAAATCCGAAGTTAAATTAATTTTTTAACTATTAATTTGAATGCTGTAATCTTAGAATTATTAACACATTTTACTGTTTAAAGGTTCTGATAAAGCAGTTGTCAAGACAGTGTTTGAACGAGCTCCTCTATGAAATATTACAATTTTTAAGGAAAAGCATTATTTATAGTTGAAATAACATGTCTGCATCGATGTGAAAACTAACATTTAATTTTTGTTATCATTTTGTTGTCAAGGGGAATAAAATAAAAGGGTTAGTGATAACTAGTGTCTACTTCTTCTAAGAACTCATCATTGATCTACTAGTTGAGGCTATTTTTAGCATAGTGCTTGAGATCAAAAGTCATGTATTGATTTCTATTAGTGAATTTACAGAAGCGAGGTTCCTTGACATTTTCCGCTAAAAATCATAGATGTGAGTTATATAGCATATCGGTCTCAAGCATAATTATGCTACATATATATATATATATATATATATATATATATTATTTTTAAACATAAAAATTTACAATTTATCATTTGACAGATATAAGCTTCCTTCACACAGTTATTTTACGGTGCATATACATACACCTAAGTTTCTTCTCTGTAATTTTAGATAAAAACCCATTAACAGTATAAGGGAAGCTAAATGTAGTAAATATAAGACTAGTGCGAAATAAGCAGATTTATCAGGAATTGAAATAAACTGCAGTCACAAGATGAGGTCATAGACAATTCAGCCACCAAAACCCGACCAAATCGAGCATCGTATCCAACTCCTTACATTTCACAATATAAAGCAGAATCGCCAACAAATGTCACAGGCGAGTCAGTGTCCCCCTACCTAACTTGGTGGATCCCACTGGTCTGTGAGCTCATCTTGAAACCGGAAGTTCCTGAACTCAAACCCCGGTGGGTGTGTATTGATAAAGAGTCCTGAAAGAAGACGAAACGGTTGCCCAATGGTCCCTGGTTTTCCAGTGGCTCTCTAAGTGATGTTAACCTATGAAAAAACCAGTAACAAATCAAATCCCTGCACCTATATTTGAAAACTAATACTGACTAAGAAGCCCGAATATTTATATGGATATCATTAATAAGCACATAGCATTATTTACTACAAATATGTTATGCATGTTGAAGCTCGGTTGTAATTAACATATGGAAGCAGTCAGAAAGTGATTATAAGTAGTTCTAGATAAACTGAACATTTTCAGTCGGGCAAGTTTATGCTCTAGTGGAAACCCACAACCTCCTTCAGGTTTACATGAATACAACAGTTTAGCTATGGTACTTTTCATCTTTCGCATGTTCTTGTTTTATTTAGACAGGTTTAATGAAATGCTTACCATTGGCAATATATAAAATATGATGTAGTAGTTTGTATGGTTACCTTTAAGTTTATTAGTCTCATACTGTGATTCTGAGGGTTTCAGGAAACTTAAAGTTCTATCTAATTACATTCAGTATCTCATAGTCTAACTGAATCATAAATTTATGGTCTTTTTGGTCTTTTTAATCCCAAATGTATCCCTATCATAGAGACTCCAATAACCAACTATAGTATTCCATTGTCTGAAACAGTGAAATGCTCATCCTTGGTTCCACTGCTAGTCATCGTCAACTGAATAACATCATGTTAATCTTGTGAGACTATCGGAACATCCAAAATAGAAGCTGAAAGTCTGTTGACATGACTTTCAGTACTTTGGTTCAGTATAATCAGTCAACGTGAAATACAAATTA